ACAATATATAATATGTAATAATAGATAAATAATAATAAAATAATGAATATGTAATAATGGATGATAACAATAATAATAACAAATATAATAATAATACATAATAATGATGATTATAACAATAACACACCTTTACTGGGCAGCAGCGTGCCTGCCCACGTGATCTTCTCGAGGCTCAGCTCGTGGCACAGCGAGCGATGTGGTGCCAAGTACGTGTTGATGTAGTGCACGAGAGCCACCGCCGCCCGTTGGACTCGCTCGTTGGCCACGTCCACGGGCTCCCAGTTGAGGCAGGCGCACCAGTGGGGCTCCACGAAGGCGTCGGCGCAGGTGCGGGAGGATGGCACCTGCGGGAGGGCGGAGGGGAAGGCTTAGAGGGGGGGGGGGGAGGGAACGCTTAGGTGGGGGGAGGGGGGAGGGGAACGCTCAGGTGGGGAGAGGGAGGGGAGGGTTTCCAGCGGTTTTTAGTTTTGTTTTTTTTTTGTTTTTTTTTTTTTCTCCCTGTATCGCGCTCTCTCTGTCAATCTCTTGATCTCTCCCTCTCTTTCGCTTTTTCTCACTCTCTATCTTCTTTCGCTTTTTCTTTCTCTCTTTCGCTTATCTCTCTATCTTTTCGCTCTCTCTCTCTCTCTTCGCTTTAATTCTCTCTCTCTCTCTTTCGCCTTTATCTCTTCTCTTTCGCTTATTTTCTCTTCTCTTCTCTTTTTTTAGCTTTCTCTTTCTCTCTTTCTTCGCTTATCTCTCTCTCGTTTTAACTTTCTCTCCCTCTCTCCATCTCTCTATCATCTCAAGTTCTCGTTCTCGTTCTATTCTCACTCCATTCTCATCTCTCCTTCTCTCCCTCTGTATGTATGCGTGTTCATTTATGTGTGTATGTGCATATACGTGTTTGTGTCCCCTCACTTCCCACGCGGGCGCATGGGCATTGTGTCCTCATATGCCTTCGTCATATTCGCGTGTTTCCTTGTCTCTTCCCTTCGTCGCTCCTGTTGCAACCGTATGCATGTGAGTTCTCCGCCAATCGTTCTTCCCTCGTTCTTCCCCTCGTTCTTCCCTCGCCCGTCCACTCGCGCCCGGACGACTTACCTGACTAAAGAGGATATCCCCTCTCCGTGAGCTGACCCAGGCGAGCGCCGGAGAAAGTGGAGGATGTCCTGCATGGTAGGGTGGAGGTCAAAGGCGTGGTCAGGCGGTGGACGTTGACCCTGGGAAGAGGGGAAGGGTGAATAGACTGAGGGGGGAGGGAGGGAGGGAGGGAGGGAGGGAAAGGAATGAGGGAAATGGGAGAAAGGGAGAGAAGGTAAAAGAAAGAGGAGGAGGAAATAGAGAGAGGAAGAGAGAGCGAGAGAGAGACAGACACACACACACACACAGAAAAAAGAGAGAGAGGGGGGGGAGAGAGAAGAGAGAGAGAGAGAGAGAGAGAGAGAGAGAGAGAGAGAGAGAGAGAGAGAGAGAGAGAGAGAGAGAGAGAGAGAGAAGAGAGAGAGGAGAGAGAGAGAGAGAGAGAGAGAGAGAGAGAGACGGACGGACGGACATCGAATAAGAATGAGGGTGACGGACTGAGAAACAGAACGACAAAGACGAAGAAAGATAATGGGAGAATGAAGAAGACAGACACAGATAGAGAATGAGAGAGACAGAAAATAGGCATTGAATGAGAGAGACAGAAATAGACAGAATGAGAGAAAAAAGAAAAAAAAAAACGGAATGAGAGCGACAGAATGGCAGAGGCCAAACCAATAAAGAAACAGGCACAGGATGAGACAGACAGAAACAGACAGAATGGGAAACACAGAGACAGACAGAAACAGAGAGTGGGGAAGACAGGGAAACAGAAACGACAGAATGGGAAAGACAGGGACAGACAGAAACAGACAGAATGGAAAACACAGAGACAGACAGAAACAGACAGAAAAGAAAACACAGAGACAGACAGAAACAGACAGAGAAAAGAAAACACAGAGACAGACAGAAACAGACAGAGAAAAGAAAACACAGAGACAGACAGAAACAGACAGAGAATGGAAAACACAGAGACAGACAGAAACAAAGAATGGGAAACACAGAGACAGACAAAACAGACAGAGAATAGAAAACACAGGACAGACAGAGAATAGAAAACACAGAGACAGACAGAAACAGACAGAGAAAGAAAACACAGAGACAGACAGAAACAGACAGAGAAAGGAAAACACAGAGACAGACAGAAACAGACAGAGAATAGAAAACACAGAGACAGACAGAAACAGACAGAGAAAGGAAAACACAGAGACAGACAGAAACAGACAGAGAATAGAAAACACAGAGACAGACAGAAACAGACAGAGAATAGGCGACAGACAGAAACAGACAGAGAAATGAAAACACGACAGACAGAAACAGACAGAGAATAGAAAACACAGAGCCAGACAGAAAACAGACAGAATGAAAAGACAGACAGACAGAAACAGACAGAAGAAAACACAGGGACAGACAGAAACAGACAGAATACAGGGACAGA